GAATATTTCTACCTCTGCATAGAGTGATCTCTGCACCTGTAGCTTTGTATACTATATGCTAATACCTACAGAGCCTCTGCATGGAGAGAACTATACTTTTATAAATGGTGTTTCATGTATGTATGTGTATTCCTTAAATAATCAACTGGAAATACTTCTCCAGCTACAATGCACCAACAGTGGGCTAAAAAAAGACTAAAAATCACTGTCAGACTATACAGACTGGAATAAATACTGATGAATAAAGACACTGAAATAATTAATATATGGAATGAAGGCAGTTTAAACCTGCAGGATATGTTTGTGCAATATTAATTTGTTTCCTGTGACATTTCTGGAATATCAAAAATCTTGTCAAAATGCAGCACTTCCCCTCATCTGGAGCCCAGTGAAAATTCTAGTGCAGCTTTTTGTCTTACATGTTTTCAAATTTTGTGCCAGGCTAGTCAGGTTTCATGGCCGTGCTTTTTTTAAATTTCTCCATGCGCTTGCACATATTCGAAAAGTCTGTGTGAGCAGAAGAACAAAAATATACCCTCAAGAGACAGCATGGAAGTCTTTCTTCGAGCAGCACTAATTAAGAAGGCTTGAATGCTGCACTGGGATGGGTATTTCAAAGGGCCTGCTGGAGAAGAGATCTGTGGATGTGGAGGGTCATACCACGACTTGTGGGCTAAGGACCAACATTACACAGAAGCTGGTTTAAGCGATCAGAAATTGGTTTAAAGCTGGAACAGAAGTTCAGTGCACATAAACCAGTTTCAAAATGACTGAAACTGGTTTAAAATAAAGCTGGTTGAATGTAGTATCAGACTTAACTGACATGGGTCAAACCAGTTTATGTAATGTCTGTTCCAGACCCCTTCCTGGTTTAAGTTAACCCAGAGTCCCCCCGCATTCAAGGTGCTTTGCAACCTTGGGCTGTGCTGTGCTGTTCTCTCTGTTCCAGACAGCAGAGCTGGCCCCACCGCTCTGCTCCCTAGCCAGAGCTCTGGCAGAGATGCAGGCACAGCAGGGTCTGCGTGTCTTCCCCCTGCCCAACCCCCGTCTCACCACTCACTGCTCAAGCAAGGATCCCCCCTCCCTCCCATTTCCCACAGCACGGACCCTGGCCCCATGAACCCTCGCCATGTGGTATGCTAGTTAATGCTGATAGGTGCCCATGTATGTGTGTCTCCAATTTAACTGGGACAGGCAGACAGGACAGTGTCCACTTAAGGCTTTCTGGAGCTAATCAACATGTCAGCTGGTAATGTCCTTCCATTCTTTCCTTGGAAAAAGTTGTTTAAGAAGAGATTGAACTAATTAGAGAGGCTTTTGTTTGGTCGGTGGGCTGATAAATACTGTGTTATCAGCCCCCTGCTGGCTCCCTCACCTGGCAGGTTTGCAGACAGTATGAAGAAGCAGGAAGAAGGATATTGAAAATCTCAGTATCATCAACAGATGCATCCACTCCACCCTCCCCCCTTTGCCTCAGAGTCCTAATTGTGGGTTGGGGTCTGGCACCACTCCCGCCCCTTGAACAGGGAGTAGGGAAAAGCCTGGGATGGTGCAGGCATGGTGGGGTTTTACACCCCTCCCTAATCAGAGCATCCTGCTGGGGCCTGGCCACGCCCCACCCCCCAGCTCAGCACAATGGAAGAGAAAGAGGGCTGCTCTAGCAGTAGGACCCAGGGTAAGCCAGCAGCAGAAGGCAAGAGCCCAGCCTCATCTGTCCTGAGCCATTTCCCTGCTTCCTGCCCTTCCTACCCCACCACTGCTCCAGTACCACATGGCTCCTAGCTGCATGGCCGGATCAGGTAGCACAGGGTCCTGCTGGTATGGGGGTGTGTGCACACATGCAGGCAGGGGCAGAAAGTGAGAGTGAGAGTGTTCATGTGAGAGGCGAGTCCTACATGTACACCCCACCACATACATGCACCCACAACCCACCTTGCACTGCCATACATGCAGACCACGACACCCATACCCCCCTCACACACTACAGCCCCCCTCCTCCCACACACATGCCCCCACAAACCCCATGCCCACCCACACCCCACATATCCACACACCCACATGCTTCCTCTCCCCACATACCCACAGTCCCCCACAAAACTGTACCCACCCCCCACAATATACAAGCACAAGACTTCATTTTAAGCTATTGTGCAATCACCTCCATGTACACTACACAAACACATGTAAACCAGGTCAAAATTAAAAAATGTTTTAGATGTTTGCTTTTTACAATATAATTTAGTATTTTTCTGTTTCCGAGATGGCAAAACCCACTGAGGAGTACTTCCGGGAGCAAGGGGAGGGATTTCTGGTGGCAAAGGTCAGGGGGGTAAGGGGCAGAACTTCCAGTCCCAAGATAGCGACCAGGGGGCAGGGACCTGTCAAGGGGCAGAGCTACCCATGCAGCCCTTGACAGCTTGCCAAAACTCGGTAAGCAGCCCTCTGCCTAAAATAATTGCCCACCCCTGCATTATTTTATTGTTATATATTACAGATAAACTATGGTCTGTAACTAAGCCTGGCTTTATTTTCTAAAGTACAGACAGTGTCCACTAAATCAGCTGTTGCTCCCATGTTATATTATTTTATTAATTTCATTGGTTATCTTAAGTCATGGATCTTCTCTGTGTGGAGTACAAGTCAGGATCAGTAATGTAAAGGGCTCCTGATGTTGTTCCTTTGTGCTATATACCATAAAGAAAAACACAAGGACAAGGGCTTTTTGCATAAGCAGTGCTCTTTTCTCAGTGAAGCACAGGTTTTAGGAGATGCGTGCAGAGTTGAGCGTACCTTTGTGTGTGACCTTCAATTACTTCCACACTGTCATGGAGCGGTGTCCTAGGGTGGCCGTGATCTCCCCTAGTGTCCCCTTACCATGCCAAGCTTGCGTCAAAGCATCCTCAAATCTTGCCCGCCATATCTTGGTCTTAAATATATAAGAAGGGAGGCTGCCTTTCATCCTTTTGGCTGTGGTTCTCCTGCTATCACTGTCTTGTTCTTATAATGGGGTTTCCGTACACCTCGGCCTTATGGGCTATGCGTGGCTCCAAACGCCCCTTTAACACGCCCCAAGCTTCGCTGATGTACCGATCGTTGTTCGGTATTAGCCACAGCCCTTGTCTCTCTGTGGCCTCTGGCACTTGGGCTTTTCTGCAGCCATGTCTCTCTCTACCTGGGGCTTCTCCTGCTGCCCCCCTCTGCCTGGGGCTTGGGCTTTCTGCAGCCTTGAGGCTCAGGTGGCCATAGCCGTGCCTGGCCCCAACTCTCCTCCTCAGGGTCTCAAACCCCTGCACGGCTCAGGCAGCCTTGGCCTTACCTAGCCTCCAACTCTCCAAGCCCCCTTCTCTGGGGCTGGGATTCTCCATGCCACCATGGGTCCCCTATGAGGCCTCCTCCAACCCCTAATAGCCTCACCCAAACCACCAGTCTAACAGTAAACAAAAACACAAGCCCCTTGGCTACAACATAAACCTAAGCCATCTGGCTATAACAACATTTGAGCCACTCCAGGGTTTCTCCATCTCTCACCAGTATTGCATTGTTCAGTCATTCAGGTCTCTTCCTTTTTCTCACTTAGGCAGAGCTCCCTTCCCCATAACTGCTGGCAGGGCACTGCCTGCCTGGCCTCAGCCTGGGAGTTATATAGGAGCCAGGCCCTGCCCCTTCCAGACAGCTGACTCCCACCGGTTGCCCTGGCAACCTGCAGCTGGGCTCCTTACTTACTGCTCCAGAAGTAGCAGGCACCTCAGTGCCCTGCTACACACACACTCACGGCTCTGAACATGCCTGGGACCAAAAATGACACCTTATTCTGTGTATGATCTACATAAAAAGTCAGTTCCTCATCCACAGTAACTTATCCCCAAAATGTGAGAGGTCTGCTGGGACCTTTCTTTCTAACCATGCTCTTCACTCATTTGCAACCTTTGCTTGCTTTTTTTCCATCTTTACTCTACCAGATTCAGAATGCACATATCTGTGTATTCAGAAAGTTTCTCATTCTGCCTCTCACTTTCTCTAGAGGGCCACTGCTCACTGCTATTCACAACTAAAATAAACATTTTGTGTGAAAGTGGCTTCTCTTGCATTTGTATGATTCAATGAATAACATAACCAGTATCTTGACACCTCCAGGAAAGGCCCAAGTGTGAAATCACTTGAAATGGAACAGATAATATGCACAGTAATTTTACTTAAAATGTGTGTAATTAAGGACTTCTTTATGACACAGGAGAGGTTAATGTAAAACAACACCAGGAGGGTCAGCAGTAGGTACCTCAAAGATACTGGTAAAGCCAGGCATGGTATTAAAACCCCCTAGTTAGTTGTGTGCTCATCTCTTACCTCTGTTAAAGTAAACCCTTAAACTGAAAATAGCTGCTTGCTAGCACTGATTATGGAGATCATATAACTAATCTGGAATTTTATTCCTCTCCATGCATGTGCATAATTTGTACTGACATTAATGGGAGACAGGGGCTCAGACTAAACTTACTGGGCACATCTACATGTGCAATTAATATGACCAAAGATACCACTTGTGTCTGATGGGACTATCTGGCAGTGTAGTAAAATAGTCTACTGTGCCTTAATTGCTGTGCATGTGTAGATGGCGATGATTTACTATGCAGCAAATTCGTCCACTGTGCAGTAAAACCTCTCATGTAGATGCACCTACTGTTTAGCAAAAATAATTCAGGAAGGGAATATAAAGTTTCCACTGTAATATCCACTTAACTCCCCTGTTGCCTTATGCAACAAGCATGATACTAATATTTACCTACTATTTTTTTCAATGGTATGGTAAGAACTTAACTTGTTTGTTTGTATAGCCTTAACCTGTGCATAGGCATTCTCTATTAAATATTTTTGTATAAGCAATGCTATTGACATATGTAGATAGGAGAAGTTAGAATCTGGTTTATTGCTCTGCTTCCTGACAACTTACTATAATGAAAGAAAACAAATCAAAACCATGCCAATTAAAAATATAATATCACCTTTTTCTTCCAGTTGTCTTCATTTTGCATCTTCTGTCCTAATGCTCCCTGCAGTTGCTCTGTTTTGTTCTGATGAGAAATCAACATCACCTCCCTAAGAACCACAAACACTCGTAAGTAAAAGATACATTATGTCTGATTGATTGCATGCAGGATTCTTGCAATTTATCTCTGTGCATTGTTTGATAAAACAATGGTGCCCCTCAATCTGGGAGGGACTTCAAAAAAATTACAGGAATTTATTATTTGTAAATTGTATATTATTTGCATTACTATATATGTGTGTGTGTTTGCAGTTTGATATTTGCTTACTCACCCACCTATATTAAAACACAGTGCAAATATCTTAGGGTGCTAACAAACATGGAGAAAGAAAAAAACATATTTTACTAGAAGCAGTGCATTAGTTCAACCTGGCTCTGCAGCGTCTGTATAGATCGGGTGCTTCAGTGAGGCTATTTGTTGCTTTTACCTAAATCTGATTCAATCATCTATTAGATAAAAGTGCCAAAAAAGCCCCAGTAAAGCACACTATCTATACAGATGATGGGAAAGACAGGTGCACCTAATGCAATTTTTTTCTTTATTGTGCTCCCTGTTGCAGGTCACAGACCCAAGAGGGAAGGCTGTGTGGAAGAAATAAACGGATGCCTCTGACAGTGGTGCTACCGTGAGGGCTTCAGTTTCTTCGACCACAGCACACACTTCAGGGAGAGAAGACTCCTGGGATGAGATGGCATCCACCTCATGTGGAGAGGTAAGTCCCTGTTCTCAGCCAGGGTGGCTGATCTACTGGACAGGTCTTTAAGCTTCTTTGCTGCAGGACAGGGAAACTCCAAGTGGAGCATGCCTGGGGACTGGCACACAGGAAAGCTCCCACGTGGAGAACACTAAGATAACTGCTTTTGAAAATGCTAATGGAATGGTTCTCTCACAGCATCTCAGGAAATCAAGGGTGTCAGTTGAGTACCTCAGTTGCCTGTACACCAATGCCAAGAGCATGGGGAACAAGCAGGAGGAGCTAGCCAACCTGCTTTCTAGCGGGCAGTATGACCTAGTAGGGATCACGGAGAGCTGGTGGGACTCCTTGCATGATTGGAGCACAGCCATAGAGGGCTACACTCTGCATAGAAGGGACCATGTAGGGAGAAAAGGCGGAGGGGTAGCTCTCTATGTGAGGGAGCAGTACACCTCTCTGGAGGCTGACATTGGCTTCAAAGATAAGCAGCCTGAAACCCTCTGGGTCAAGCTACAGAAGAGAAGGTTGAGAGGAGACTTGGTAGTGGCTTACTGTTACATCAGAGGAGTACATTAAGAACTCAGTGAACAGCTGTTCATCAGGGCACCCCTGGGGAAGACCAGGAGCAATGGAAACAAACTCCTGGAAGGCTGCTTCAGGCTCCATTCCAGGAAAAACTGCTTCACAGTCAGGGTGTCCAGATTGTGGAATAAACTCCCTCCAGTGGTGGTGCAGTCACTACCCTGGAAATCTTCAAAGGAGACTAGACAGTCACCTCAGTGGGGTCACTTGACCCCAGTTGTCTTTTCCTCCCTGGTGCAGGGAGACTGGACCCCATGATCTTCTATAAGGTCCCTTCCAGACCCTAAAGCTGTGAATCTATGAATCCAGACAATGCCACTTCTGGACATGTGCTGGGCTTGGTGTGGGAGCGCACCATGTTTAAAGTGCCGATGTTTTTTCCATGTCTGCAAGCAGCCTTAGTGTTTTCTCAGGTTGATTTTCAGGTAACCATGAACAACTATAAATGCTATAATATTTAAAACAGAAAATGCTATAGTGAACTCAGAACATTACTACGATCATTTTAATATTGCAACAAGTTTAAAACTGAACCACTCAGTGAATTCATAACTAATTTATCTGTTATTTGGCTAAAAGGAAAATATTCTTAAATGATGCTAGAAATTAACCTGTAATACAACTGATAATTGTTAGGTTTGTACACAGACATTTCTGATACAGCAAAAACCTTTCAATTTAATCCCTGTGAATCTTGAAAGATGGTAATGCCTCCCAGTGCACAACAGCACAAAAACTTCATATCTTACTCAAAAGCCATTTGTCTGAATAAATTCCTTCCATACCATTCCAGGCAGACAAAAAAAATCCTTGTGCATTGCTATGACTTTGGTTTAGAGTAAGGGATGGCACTTCTCTCTCCACTTTGCCAATAATGGAAAATCTGCTTTACCAGTAAGTAGAAACTTACTATCACCACACTTTTAAATAATAATATTTATTTTAGTGCAGTGAGATAGTCTTGTGATTAAAGCATAGGAAAAAACATCAAAAAGTGCAGATTCTATTCCCAGCTTTCCAAATCTGGGGCAAGCCACTTAGACCAAATTTTAAAATGTGCACCGCATTTTTTACATAGCCAAGTTTAGATGCATACAGCATGCTGAACACACAGGCTGATTCAAATTTCCAATGGGCTGATTAAAAAAGGATTTCTGAGGACTAGTCACACTGTAATCAGAATTCACATGCCTTTTTTTCTCATGTGTTGCCCAAGTGTTTAAGGGCATGTGAAGATCTACGCACTTCGGCCAGTAACTACATGCTCCTACGCTTAGGCACGATTGTTCTTTTGTGATTAATTAAATAACTATTACACATGCTCACAACATCAGCCATTTTAAGATGCATGTGCATAACACACCCATTTGCCCCAGTTTCCTAGATGAACCTAGACTACAAACAGCCAGACTAAATAACCCAGACTACAAATGTCAGATGGTGACCCTCATGAATTCTGTTTTCAGCCATCTCACTAGATTCTTAGCAATCAACCCTAACATAAGCATGCAAGTAAAGTGTTCTCAGGATTTTGGTGAATTTATGTTCTTTTTGGCATGCTTTCTGATGGCCAGTTTGGGTGGTAATTCCAAGGATAGCATGGGCTGTTTGTAAGTTTGGCCTGGCCACCTACAGAAGATTGTTTTTTTTGCAGCTAGACATGACTCTAAGATAGTGCATGTGTCCTTGTGTTTCCAAGGGCACCTCTTTGGAGCAGTTGCTGACTGTAGTGATTGTTTCTAAAAATTAGTAGTGTGTGGGAGGCATCTGAGTTCATGTTTTCAAGGTTACAACTAAAATGATACTGAGCGTTTCAGAAGCATTTGAAACTGCAGTTGAACAGAAAAGACACAAAGTTTAGGACTCATGAAATAAACACATCTCACACCAGGAAAGTTTATAACCGTTGGCCAATATAAAAATATGTATTTGTGTAGACAGACAGACAGACATAGATAAGGATACTGTTCAAGTGCTATAAACCAACTCTTGGTGTGAGATTATACATAATCTAACACCATATATTATACAACTCTTGGTGTGAGATTATATATAATCTCACACCATATATATACTAATATATATATATATATATATATTAGTAAAGCTGACTTTTCTGAGACATAAGTGCCATGTGGCCACTTGCTTTTCCCCAAAGAAGGGAGGGAATCCATGAAAGAAAGAACTGTAAACAAGTAAAAATTGGAAAGGATATGAGAACCATGCAGGAAAAGTAATGAGACAATGTAGAAGTGAAAACTGCTGTTTACAGCCTTCCTCAATAGTTAATTAGAGAGAGCTTTGCTATCATTTATAGAGGCATTCATACTATACACAATATGAATCAGTGCTTACATGTATGTCTAATTCTGATTTCACAGATTTCATAAATTTCATAGACATTAGGGCTTGAAGGGACCTCAGAAGATCATCAAGTCCAGCCCCCCGCCCAAAGGGCAGGAAGTCAGCTGGGGTCATAGGATCCCAGCAAGATAAGCATCCAATTTGCTCTTGAAGGTGTTCAATGTAGGTGCTTGAACCACCTCTGATGGCAGGCTCTTCCAGACCTTGGGGACAGTAAAGAAATTTTTCCTTATGTCCAGCCTGAAACGGCCTTGTAATAGTTTATGACCGTTTGACCTCATCATCCCTTGTGGCGCTCTGGTGAACAAACATTCCCC